AACTGATAGCTATGGATGCGAACCAACTCAAAACAGTGATCCATAAAATCAACTAAAATCTAGAAGTTTCCAGCCCTTGTACGTTCCTACGATGCATAACAGTAGCTAACGTACTCTTGTGTGTTCGCATTCTAGTGTCTGATGATTCTACGAATTTGGGGCCTACGAAGGTATACATAGCGTTGGGTCCGAGTTGGGCCGAAGTAGGATCGAGGCGGTACATTGGGCCTTATTAGGCGACACACCGTGTGTATGCCGACACAAAGCTTATTATTTTATATAGTTATGTTGATAGCTATACATTTTAAGTGATTCAGGTCTAATAATATATTAGGAAGTACACTACCTAGTTGTAATATAGCCTTGTTTTCTTGAACTGATAATGAATCTATCCCTTTCCTTGGTTCTTCTTTCACCCTCTCCACGCTATCGTCTTGGCGTGCAGCGCCCCGGAAAAACTCCTGCCGCTCTACCCCCCACCTACTATTTATGGTGCCCTTTCTCTTCCTCTTCCTCTTTCTCGTTGTCGCACGCAGCAAAAGCGCTCGTCAGACAACATGGCGGAAGCTTCTAAACAACAGGTCTTGACCACAGTCAAAGGGTATGCTCATCTCTCCAATGCTTGTTTCTATTCTATGAAATCGCTCGCTAATCATCGAACAGCCTCCTCGAGTCTGGGGCTTACTCGGATTTCGTCATCACATGTGGGGCCGACACACACAAGGTTCACAAGGCCATTGTTTGCACTCAAGTAGACTTTTTTGCACATGCACTTGAGTTTGGTGGAAAGGTACGTGTTGGAAATAGTGCGGACGAGAAGGATTATGACTCATTCGACGAAAGGAATCAACACTTCACAAAGTTGATCTACCCAGGGACGATCCGGAAGCTGTGAAGCAAATGATTCAGTACCTGTACAAGGGCGAGTACGATCCGGTCCTGCCTGATACGGAGTCAACAAAAACCGAACGATTTCCTATGGACGAGACAAAGAGTATGACATATCACTTCTCAGGAAATACCTTTACCTATGCATTTCCGCATACTTGTACGTCCGTTTGGGGTACGGATGTCTATGTGTGTTCGCATCACACCTGTGGCTCAGCCCCGAAGACAGACTTTGTTTGCGAAGAATGCGATCCATCACTGGCCTATGTTCCTCTCAATGGCACCTCCGACCAGCTTCTTCTTCATGCGAAGATGTACGAAATCACAGACAAATATAATGTCGTCGGTCTCAAAGATCTAGTCGTAGAGAAGTTTAGCCGGGCATGCAAGAACTTCTGGGACGATGACAACTTCCCCGTTGCGGCACATCATGCCTTTTCTACCGCTCCCGAGGACGACATGGATCTGCGCAGCATTGTCAGCGCAACCATCGATGCCCATATAGAGCTGGTCGACAAATTCGCTGTTATTGACCTTATGCTTGATTTCAGCGAACTTGGCGTGGGAGTTCTCCGGAAGAAGGTTAAAGACCATGGTTAGGGCAAGAGGGGGTATTCAAGTTCAGTTGGGTAGGCATGGATGCGGACATAGCTTGTCCTATGATCTAGTTCTGAGAAGATGTGTAAAAAATCTGGATGAAGATCTACGGCTAGACTAAAGATGCTTGTATAGCTAGGGTACAATGCTCAGTTGCAGCTTAGCAACGTGACATGCAGTTCTCTGCTCAAGGCTTTGAATAAAAGAGTCACACATCTATTCACCTATTCCACCTTCCTCTACCTAGCCTTCTAGTTAATACAACAAACCACCTTGGAATACCACCCACAAACATGAATAAACAAATACAGTGACATCTCAGCTTCAAAATCACTAGCCTACTGCCTGTCGTAGCTTGTAACACATCTTCCATCAAGTCTTGTATTTTTCCTGTCTTCTGAATAAACAAGACTTGAACAAGAAATTACAACATAGCAACCAGTGAAAAAGGGACTAAAGTTATTCTTTCCTACTATACTCGTAGATAAGAAGGTTACTTACACAAGCAGGAAACAAAGCCATCATGGATGTATTAGTAAAGCTTGAAAACACTGAGGGTGTGACATGCCTGTTCTCTTGAAGATGACATGGGGAAAGAAAGAGCTGAAAGATTAAAAGGCTCAAATCACGTCGACATACGCAGGCCAACAAGAGGAAACGCTCACTAAAACGCATTAGTTTAGAGTTCGATATGGTAAAGTGGAGCAGGGAATAGCTGAAGTTATTGAGGTAGCGTCAAAACATGTCTGTCATTACTGTATCAACATCACAAACGCCATAAGAGCGGAATGCCATCTACAAAAAGCCCCCCACGCAATTGCCCTATCCTATTTTACCCACCCTTCTTCCGTCATCCACTCGTCCTCTCACACCACACTCCAATCCCACAACCCCTCAAGCCCTTCCAATCCCAAACTTGCTCAACCGAATCCTCGGCACAACACCTACCAGCACCAACACACTAGCGACGATAACCGCCCAATGCTGAATATGCGCCACATACAAACTATACGTAGTCCACGACGACGCGCAGATAGTAGCCAAGCCAAGTGTCGCAATAATATAACCGCCCATCCGATGATACTTGTAGATGCTCTTCGCCTTGTCCACACTACCATACAACTGCGGCACATAATACTGCGTAAAGCCCACAATAGCCTGAATATACACCAACACGTAAAACGCGAGACCCAGACGCGCGTGCGCAGAAGCAAAGTGTTCGTGACCGGGACCCGCCTTGTTAATCTCGATGATGATAAGGCCGGCCGTAAGGGCCGAGGCGCCCACGACGTGGAAGAGGAAGTGGGCAATGGTGCCGGAGCGCTTTTGTTCGGGGGTATGCGTCGGTTGCAGGATGAGGGCTGCTTGGATGGCGAGGAGGAAGCCGGCCTAATAGGGTATCAATGATACGGTTGTCGCGAGGGGAACTCTAGGGTACTGTTTTGGCTTACGGAGTTGAGGAGCTGTGGCCAAGGCAAAATACGCGGTTAGCGGGTGTGGTCGTCACAGGGGGGTATCAAGGGGTGGGGATGAGGCTTACGGGATGCCAGGAGAAGAAGATGAGCTTATGGGAGAGAATTGCTCCCCAGACTATGGCTGCGAGCTGGGTGACAAGTTAGTATGGGCTGTGGTGTTGGCAATCGGGGGATTGCGCTTACGATCCATATTCCTACCTGCGCAATGGGAGCAGTGCCTATAGAGGGTGTTAACTTCGTTCTGTCATATTCTCCTCCCGAAGCTTAATATTACACACCAATCCACAGGTTGTGGTAGAGAGGCTGTCCCTCCACCTGGCTGGCATCTCCTCTTCTGCCTAGGAGCGGTTCCTCTTCACTCTGGCCGCGCGCCGCAGTGGCATTTGGTGGTATTCCTGTCGCAGAAGCCATGGTCGAGGCGCAGTTTGTGACGCGGCAACAGATGTGGCGGGTGTAAAGACAGTGACAGACAGTGAAAGACACAGTGTCAGCGCGCGCCTGGTGTCAGAGGAGGTGTTTCGGGGTGGCCCGGACTTTAGGTTATTGTGAAGCTTAGGCCGACGATGACGACAATTAGACCCTTGTACATATCCGCCAATCAGCATCCACGCGCATGTCAGATGAGGGCTGAGAGCAGCCCCGCGGAGGAAGTGGTGATGTTTGCATCGTGTGTTTCCGAAGTGGAGAAGACGCTTTTCGACATGCCATGCCTGTCTAGCGCACCCATATCGGCTATGTGAAGCCATCTTTACGTCGATACTCTTTTCTCGCATTACTCGGTCTTAGTAGGGTGAGTATCAATAGGAATTGCTAGACTTAAACTGTGATATACATTCGTCTCATCTGCACATCTATCGTACAATCCTGCGTTCGCGATCATCACCTCCAGCCCCACATGCAGCGGATATATCCAATGTTTGTAGTGCTGCCCCCACCCGTCATTCCCCGTAATCCCATGGTGAAGTACCTAATTATTTCATAGCAGCAAAAGGGAATCATTTCTTCGCTCGTCCCCACTATCCGTACGCTTTCAAATGCCCAATGCGTTCATCCCAAAATAAAAATATTACATCTCGCCAGACAGCTTAGATGTGATTCAAAGAAAAAGAATAAAGAACCCTGAATATCCTGTGGTAGCGACGCCCCCGTCTAGTGTATCCATAGTGATACGTGGATAACGACCCTGCCCAGACTGCCCAGAAGCATGTGTCGTGTCTCTAACTGCGCCGTTCGCTGATGCAAGTAGGAGCAAAATCGGGGGCCATGCCTCGATATAATGTACGTGTGCGTGAAGATAAAACCGACTCCTCTCACTTCTTCTTCATGAGAGCAGGCTGCTTCGATGGATCATCCGGGTCCAGGAATTTGGTCATGGCAAGAGAGAGTTCCTTGAACTCCACCGGCTTAGTGACATAAGAGTTGAAGCCCGCTTCCACACACTTTGCGTACACGTCCCCGAGGACGTTGGCAGAGAGCGCGATGATCGGGTGGCGACGGTACCCATGCTTCTTTTCCCATCGCCGGATCTCTTTGCAGGCTTGATACCCATCTTTGTTGGGCATATGCAAATCGCACTGGGATTGTTAGTATGAAACACGTGAAGCAAATGCCACCAGATACTTACAAGTACGATTGAATAGTAGCCCGGCGGTTTGGAGAAGATGGTTTCAGTAGCTTGAACACCATCGAGTACAGTCTCTGTTTCGATGTCGATCCTAGCAAGGAACTTTAGGATCACCTAAGAGAAGTCAATATCGGAAGATACGTGGAGATGACTGCCAATCTTACAGTTTGGTTGATCTTATTGTCTTCGACGAGGAGAACTTTGTGGTTCTTGCCACCGACCCGACGCTTGAGCTCCTCAAATACAAGCTTTTGGCTGACCACAACTTGCTGCGCACTATCCTGGTTGCGATCTGTACTGGACTCACGCTCCTTCTGGGGGTCGAATATGATGGCGAATTTGGACGGCTTCAGTGGTCGGTAGATAAATTGCAGACGACGATCGATGTGGAGCTGATCATAGTCGTAGTGCGGAGCATCCCTCATGAGTTCTTTCTTCTGCGATGGATCTGATACAACGACTACGGATGTATTGCCATATGAAGTAGAGCTGAAAATCTGATCCATAATCGCATGTACTTCGGCCGTATCATGCAGCACCAGAACAACGTGAGTGAACAATACCGGGTTATCACCACCCATCATTCTTTGCGCTTCAATGTTGCTTGACTGCCCGGTTACCTGATGAGGTATGCCTTGGGGAAGCGTGTTTTTGATGTGTCTGATTGTAGCTTCCCTACTATGCTCCAGTGGACACACCACAAGAATAGAGTACATCGGAGGCTGCAGGGCACTACCGAGTGGTGAAAGACTGCGGTGCGGTGAAGATTGGCGGGCCGTCTGTTCCGATTCAGTAGACCCTGTAGAGTAGCCGGAGGGATGTTGCCTTTCGCTATCCGGTCGCTTGGGAGGCAGTTCCAGGTTGATATTGGCGTCCGGGGAGGCTTTGACCTGTTGCATATATGATGACGCTGATGATCTTTCTGATCGCACACTTGATTGTCCAGTGAGTGCAGCACTAGTTAGTGAATGGTCAGAGCTTCCAGAGGACAGCGAAGGCGAGTCACGTGAGCGCTCAGAGGCCGACGAACTGTGAATCGGAGATTTGACAGGCTCGCTCTTTTCAGATGACAGGCTCGATACGCGTTTGAGTTGCGTGTACCCAGGCGTCTGTGATTGAACAAACTTCTGTAGAGCCGATGGCTGCGGAGGTTGTGGTGGTGCTGATGGAGTAATGAGTGGAGTCTCAAACGCTGGCGTTCCTGGCGTCGACACAAGCGGCTTGGGATAGTCTTCAGCAGTGGGGAGTCCGAACTTGATCGTGAAGAAGAAGGTTGAGCCTTTGCCTGGCGCGCTTCTAGCGTCCATCCTGCCTCCATGTAGTTCGACAAATTGCATGGAAATGGCCAAGCCAAGGCCTGTACCACCATGTTGTCTAGTACTGCTGGCATCAATCTGGCTAAACCTTTTGAAGAGGTACTTAGCCTCAGCATCAGTAAAGCCCTGTCCTGTGTCAATGACTTCGAATCGAACCATCGTCTCGTTCTCCTTCAAAGGCGGAGAACGATCCGGTGGCTGAACCTTGCAGCGTATGAAGATCTCCCCACGCTCTGTGAACTTGATTGCATTGCCCACCACGTTGAGAAGCACCTGCCGAATGCGGAACTTGTCGCCCTTGACCTCTGCTGGCACACCTTCCTCAACGAGATAATTAAGCTCAAGACCTTTCTGAATGGCAAGTCCCATGTTCAGGTCGTTGACTTCCTCAAGCAAAGACGGTAAATGAAGCCATTCCATCGAAAGCTTGATCATACCCGCTTCGACCTTGCTCAGGTCGAGAATATCGTTGATGAGATTGAGCAAGCTATCGGTACTAGCCTTGATGATGTTGACGTGCTCTAGTTGCTCGGCGTTGAGAACGCTATCGAGAAGGAAGTTGACCATGCCAGAGATACCGTTCAGTGGGGTTCGGATTTCGTGGGACATGTTGCTCAAAAACTTGGATTTCGCGTCCATGGTCTCCTTCAGAGTTTGCTCGAGTAATTTGTGGTCGTTGATGTCTGTAGCCGAGCCATACCATGTTTCCTCGTTGTTGTTCTCAGCCAGCGACTTCTCCAACAGAACCCTTACCAGGTGCCACCTGTAATCACCATCTTTATTGCGAAGTCGGACTTCGGTAGAGTAAGACGGGCGTCCATGAGCGTCCTTGACGACCCTTAGTATTCCCGTGCTTGCCAGTTTCGAGAGCTTGGCCTGTGGCATATCCATCCTGTCTGGTGCCGAGCCACTAGGACTAGTTATGGTTCTCTCTGTCTCTGATGAAGCATCAGAAGAACTGGAGTCGTGTTGCCCGTGGTCAGATGGTAACGTCGTGGGTACGTTCGCTACACCATGTTCGTCTAGCTCCGGAAGCTTGCACTTGATGACATCGTCAGGGTGCACGTGTTCCAAGAAGCCGTTACCCAGGGCATTAGCCTCACTTTGGCCAGAGAAGGAGATCCACTGGGAGTTGCAAAAGGTCAGGCCTCTACGGTCGGAGACGACGAAAACGATCTGAGGGCTTGAGTTCGCCAGTGCGCGATACTTGGCTTCAGAAGCCGCCGTCTCCTGTTGACGGGCCGAGTTCTGTTCAGCGAGATGTTGCTCATGGAAATCCATGTTAGTCCCAATCCAGTGAACTATCTGTTGGCGTTTGTTCTTGAGTGGTGCAACGCGAACATAGAACCACCGATAGCATTGATCAAACCGTTGGAGCCTAACTTTCTTCTGGAGCTGTTGGCCTGTCCTCAAGGATCGACTCCATTCCTCCAGATAAGATCCACGGTCCTCTGGGTGCATGGCATCCCACGGGTTTTGCAGGACTTGGCCAGAAGTCTGACCTCGATATATCAAGAACTTGGAGTTCACCCAGGTTATGACGCCAGTGGTTGGTGCGGCAGTAAATATCTGCACGGGCAATGAGTCGATGATGGTCCGAAGCAAGCTTTCAGAAGGAGGTGGCATATCGACATCGCTGATAGAAGAGCGTCTGGCATGCGTCTGGGAAGCTTGAGGTCGTCCTCCTGGCGTTGTCGCAGCCGGTAACGATTGGAAGGATGAAGTAAAATCCGCCCCGTACGAGTGTAAGTAGGAATGGTTACGGCTAGAAGGGTCTTGCAGTGGAACGCGGCGTGCGCTCAACGTATCTTCCTTTTCATTACGTGACTTGGAAGTATCCTCGCCAACTTGCTCAGCTACAGGGTTCATAGTGACGCGTTTTGTGGGCCGTTTGTCTGTCTTCCGTGCACATTGGTCTTGTGCGGACTGAGTTAGTGACTTGGTATATTGTTTTCTGGCATCAAAGTAGCTCTCGACCGCTTCACTGCCGGCAAGATGCCCAGGCGTGCTACTAACGGATTGCTTGCTAGAGAACCCCAGCGAAGTAGCGTCCCATCCGGGTGTCCCTGCAATAGAACCGCCCGGGCTATGCTTGGAACGGCCAGAGTAGTCGGAGGGACTAGTGACGCTCCCCGCTGCAGAGTTTGTTATATCTTCAAGATCAAGATGAAGCAAGTCGTCAAGACTATCGGAATCTGAGGGCATATTGATACCTCCTGTCGTGCCGGTAGTCATACGTCGCTGTCGTATAGAGGCGACCTGGGCTTGTGCATTGCTGAAATGCCAGGCATTGGAAAAGGACGTTGCCAGATGAGGTCCAAGATGCTTGAGCGAGTTGGTCAAGTTACGTGGATATGGCACAATGGGCGACAGGATGGAAAGAATTGCAATGGGCGCTTTTCTCACAAAATCCTCTCTGTAGGACGACGAAGCGCCCATAGACTGTTCAGATTGTCTCCTGGTCATAGAGGGGGTTTGGGAAGGAGTGGATACATCTGGCGACGACATTACCTGCGACAGGGTGGGGTGTATCAGCGGTATGTGTGTGACGGTGCTAGCCTTATCAATGCCGATGGCTTCGACCATGCCATAATTTGTGTAATCCTGCGGAGAGCGGGATGGATTGAACGTGTCTTCGTCAACGCTGCCGGTCGTAAAGAAGGGGTTGGCGTCAGCATCGTTTTGGATAGCTGGCGAAGGGGCAGGTGATTGTGCCCATGGCGAACTTGGATACTGTTCATACTCTTCATAGTGCTGAGGTAGTCGAGGGTCACCGAAGCCAAGATTACGACCACGAGCATTTGTTGCTTTTTGAGCTTCCTGTGCCTGGGTTCCGGCAGACTTGGGCTGGTCTGACTTGTCCTTGGATAAGTCTTCTTTGGAGGTGACCATTGAAGTCGAGTAGTCTCTAGTCAACGTAACCAGACGTCCCCTCTCCAGAACACGGTTAACTCCAGTGTTGTCTATCAACGCGTCCGGTTCGTGGTCGAGAGCACGGAGTATGTGGTACACGGCACTGGGCGGTGAAGGGTCACCAATACTGGAAAATTCTGGGTCACTGAAAGACGGACCTCCGGTTGGAGTCGACTCTGCAAGATTGGGTGAACTGCCGTCAAATGAGGCCTGTGAGACTTGTCTCAATGGGTGTTCTGGCCTTGAGCTGGTGTGAGGGGCGTGGCTTGCAGCCCTCATTGGGCCTCTTGGTCGAATTGGCTGCGAGGGCGTCGGGGTGTCTGGCGACATGGGCTTCTGGCGTTCATGGCCAGCAAAGGAATGGTGCGAGAACAGCTTCGGTCTCCGTTCCGGGATCACTGTCGATGGTGGGGTATCGAAAGACATGTTTTCCCGCAGACCTGGCGTCTCGGACTGTGGGTTCCTCGATTGGCCCATTGCTTCCTGGTAGGTGGCAGCATGTGGACTGCCATCACTCGCCGTCGCAGTGAAGGTGGTCTTCTGGCCCCAGGGCACATTCTCAATGTCGGATGCGTCCGCTGGTACTGCTAAGGTGGCGCGCTCTGCTCCGTAGTGATCGCGCATTATCGAAGTGACGGTCGTCCACCATGCTGCAAGGCCAGGCTCGGCGCCCAAATGCAATACAATGTCGTAGAGATTGGGACTGGGGAATCGTGGGTCTTCGGCATCAGGGCTCTGGTAATTGCGGCCTGCGGGGGCAAAGGGTGTGCTTGATGCCGCAGGCGTGCTGCTCTCGGAGACGATGCGCTCTTTCGGCATTGCGTACTCTCTCGGCTGGCCTCCCATGACGGTGGGCGACAGGCTGGTGAAGGGCATGTGGAAAGCCGAAGCCCATCGCGGTGTGTTTGGCACAGTGGGGAACGGGTAGGAAGGCGTGCGGACGGCGTGGGCGGCAGGTGTGGGCGGCATGCTTCCGCGGATGGTCCTCGCGGATTCAGTCGACTCAGTCGAATTAGTAAAGTTGGTCGGCAGTGGATGTGGACTGGGGCTGGGACTGCTAAAGGCACCCTCAAGCGTGGGTGAAATGCCTGGCAGCGGCTCTTCCTTTATGGGCGAAATGCGACGAGAGCCCAGAGCGGCAACTGTGGGCGTGTTGGACGAAGTTCGCATGCGCGCGCGCTGCTGTTGCTGCAGCATCTTCAATTGTAGGCCGCGCAGGCGCTCCACCTCCATCTCATCAGGCGAGGCTTTGCCCAGTGGCGCATCGTCGCGGCTCTCCCTGCGTGGTCGGCCAGCCCCGTCCCCGTCAGCGGGCTGGCTCCCTTGGTCGCTCATTTCGGTATCCGTGGCTTCATCGTCGGTGGTGTGGGCGGCGTCTGGTGCGCGGGGCTCGGGGTGCTGGGTGTGCGACTGGTATGTTTTTGCATCGCTGGCGGCAAGTCTCTGCAGTGGCGGGCGCGCCGTGGGTGGCGGCGCACTATCGTCTCTCTTGGAAGTAGGAGAGGGGAGCGGGGCCTTTGTCATTATTGCATTCCCCAGTTCTCCTACAGAAAGCGCAGGTAGTATCGTGTTGGGCTCTCGGCACTATGGTGCATAGATGGACAACAGAGGCTATGACGTCGCAGTCGGTGCTCCTAACAGGAATGGACGGTGAAGAGGCCCTCGCACCATGAACAATGGACAAGTCAACAACACGCTTTAGTTACGACGGATGGGATTTGAGGCTATCCAGGTGCCAGTGCCAGCAAAGGCCGAATCCCCCCGTGCGCAGTCGACACAAGCTGGGAGGGCTTGGTGAGTAAGAATCAGATGGTGGGCTCATGCCAGGATTCAGGATCAGGATCAGGATGGGCCCTCGTCCTTGACCACCATGCAGACCGGCCTGGATAGACTTACAAGAAGTTGGAGGAGCACACACCCACACGCAAAAGACAGTAGCCGCTGCGACAGGTGATTTGGATGGCGTGTGAAGCTTACTGGCGCCGGAATCCGTCTTGCTCCTGTCTCATTAGAGCATCCCGCCCTGGGCGAAATTGACTGTTGGCGAACCGGCGGCTTCGCTATGACGCCTCTTGGCGCCGACGTCATTCCAGGGACTTCGCGTAGTGCGTAGCCAGCCGCACCTTCGGGAGCCTAAGCCGAGAGCGCCATGGGCGATCAATCCTCACTCAACCCAAGCACCTAACACATGACCCGGCCATGCACCCATCGCCCCATCAAGCCTACCCAACTACCAAAAATACTGCTTCGACTTTCATTCCTTGCTTGCGACACTGCACCTGCACTGCTTCTTCTGCCTCGCTAATGTCAAGCGGGATGCCACGTTGTCCCGATTGGCTGGGCACCCCTACCTAAGTTAGCGCGGCGGGTTTGCCATACCCTCTCGATCCGGCTAGCCTCAAACTCCTTCTTCTGGCAACCACGACAGAGGGAAGCTTTCCAAGACTACCGCATTGGCCAGCTACACTAAAGAGCCTCACTAATGCCATTACACTTGTCGTTGTCGACATTGACATTTCGCATACCGCTTCATGCCCATTAGCCTGTTCTGCCATGTCCCGGTCCGATTCCAATCCCACAACTGCCATGGAACTATTTCTCGTGCGATCATGCTGGCAAGCGTACCCCCTGGTTGGATCTTGCGGCTTCCGCGCTTCTGCTCTAGCAGCTGTCAGCCCGCCGCTGCAGGGCGCTCTTCCAAGAAAACGTGGTGCGTTTTTTTTTTCAACACAACGTGCTGCGGCGCCTCCCAGTGACATGCCATAGTACCGACCACTCAAAATGTAAAACTAAAAAATCCCAGCACACATGTCAACGTTCAACAATATCAGCGCACGCACGTGGGAACATGACATGTAACCCCACCATCCGAACACCCCACCCACGTCAACTTACGTGCTTCGACTACTAAGTCTGGGTTACTCGTGTTCTGCCTTGTAATTCGCACGTCACACGGGATCACTAGTCATTATGATGTACGATATATTCCCGAGGGCGGCAGGACGATCCGTGGCGATCACCATTGGCTGCATCTAATCAGGTACCATGGCCTATCACGAATACACCTCGATCCACAGATAGACCGGAGTTTACGCGCCCCAGGTTGGAGGGAAAAACAAAATCCCTCTTCTTGGGAACTGGTGGTGTGGGCGGCTGCTTCTTCGAAAGAATATTCCGGATCGCCGATGGCATGGGCCGTATCGGATGTTATCTGGGAAACACGCCACTTTCCATGCTACGCAGTGCGGCTGCAGACACCAGCCTTACTCCTCGCAGAAAAAGCATCAGCCGCGC